AGAGAGAGAGAGAGAGAGAGAGAGAGAGAGAGAGAGAGAGAGAGAGAGAGAGAGAGAGAGAGAGAATGTCGGTCGGGAGAAACGCGTGAAGACGTCCGCGGGGACGCATTAATTTTTCAAGCCTTCCGCACACGGACTATTGCTCCGACGTTTTCCTACGACGGCTCCTCGCGTTCTCGTCGCTCGCGAGCTTCTGCTTCGCCAGCTAATTAGACAGATTCAACGTAATTCGCGAGAACGTCACGCTCGTGTCTCCGGATGTCGCGAGAGTCAAATGTCGCGCAATAATGCGGAAGTAGTTCGAAGTGGAAAAACGTAAACGAGCGACGTGACGCGGGTTCCCCGCGGTTCTTCGGCACGTTCACCTCGACGGAGGTCGACGAATCCCGAATTCTCGAATGGTTGCAGTTAACGTCGACGTGGCGCGATATAGAGAGGAAGAGGAACGATTTTTAATAACGCGATATAAAGCGCATCGCGCGCGGCAGCTTTTCCCTCGTTTTCCTCTTTTTCCCTCTGACTCCCCTTCTTTCTCTCTTTTCACATCGTCGTGAAAAGTCGTATTATTTTCGAGGTAACGACGTCCTTTAATTCTTATTGCCCGGCCGTTCCCTGTTGCGCGATAACGCAAAATTAAACGCGCGCGTACACACGCGCGCTTTTACATAACGCAGTCTCGCGCATAATCGGCTAATTTTTCATGAAGCTTTCGCGGGTGTGCCGGATGACCATAAACACACTCTGAATTTAATCTCTCTCCTCCGTCCTGTCCATCTCTTTCTCTCCGCGTTCCGCTTTCTCTCTCTCTCTCTCTCTCTCTCTCTCCCCTTTTCTCCCTCGGCCCACGAGAGGTGCGCGCGCGCGCGACGTATGAGGAATTTACTTCGACTTCGAAAACGCCGAGGGAGATCATCATCCGCCGCAATTTTTCCCCCCGACCCGATACCCGGGATCCACTCCCGTAACGAGGTCCGGAATTAAGATTCCCCGCGGAATAGAGCCCGCTTGAAATTGAGCCGGCCGAGTGATGTTCCGTTATTTATTTGCGCCGCTGAAAGCGTAATTCGCGCAAAGCCTTTCATTTGCGCGGGGCTTGCTTCGCGGAGTTCCCGCTGGCGCCGTGGAACTTTTTCCCTGGGCCGCGCCGCGAGTGTCGCGCCATCGATTCCGTTTTATTCCGTTTTATTCACCCCTGTGTGTCCGACCCACCCCTTCCTGACCGCCCGTTTGTTTCTCCCACGGCCAATCTCGATAAGAAATTGTTGGCGAATTTCCCCCGCGCGACAGCCCGCGGAGAAGTTTGGGAAAATTGTTTCATTGCAAAAACGTGCCGCCATCGTCCCCTCCCCCCTCCCGAAAATGTAAAACGCTCGTCCCCCCTGGCCCCGTTTTGCGCGAGCGAGCGAGCGAGCGCGCGAAACGTCGAAGCACGTTTAACGTCCGCAGTTACACACAGCGGGAATATATCCCGCTTATAAGCGTATCGCGTGACACACGTATGAGCGTACGTTATAAACGTAACGTGCACCCGCGCCTCTATTATATGTAGATATTCGTAAATGGCCATGAAGCTGAGATAGTGGAAATCATAAATTGACAGCGTGAACTCTCCATTACTCATTTATCAAGTTTCCCAACGTTGTGAATCGTCCATCGTTTACTGGAAAGTTCGTAACTTCGGCCGGGCCGGCGTATATACGGTACGTACGTACATACATGCATGCATGCATGCATGCATACGTGTGTAACACGTAGCCCGGCAAATATATAGCCCGCTCTCGTACACGAACGCCAGCTCGAGAGGGTGAGTGCACCCTTCGTAACATTAATAGCGAAAATGTGTAAAAACGTGAAAGAACTTCTTATACTCTACAAACGAGATATATTATGGGCTTACGAATGTACACCTCGTACGCACACACGCATGCAGACGCATCCGCGCAAATGCGCAGCTCGCGCGCGCCTTCGCTCGCAAAGGGAAAATTTTTTTTTTCGCGATCGCATGCAGTTATCAAATCCGATAAAGTTTGGTCGCCGGAAAATCGTGCGTTAAAAATAAACGCGCCACCAAAAAGGTAAGGAGGATGCAGCTAGTTGCGCAAGTAAATATTTACCTCCCGCGCCACCGCGTCCCCGACAGAGAGACCGTGATGGAGATAGGGCGAGGATGAGAGAGACAGAAAGAGAGAGGGAGAGAGAGAAGGAGATAGGGAAATAGGGAGATTTGCCGGCGCCCCGCATAACCCGCGTTAAAATACATATCGGGATTTCCATGCCAACTCGCAGCTGCTTTCTTGGCGCTCTACAGTTAATCTTACCGCGGATGCATCATGGATTTAATTTGTTCGCGTGCTCTTTGCCGCACGGGGAGCACGATTCCGCGCTCTTGTTTGAGCGGCAATTACTAATTGTGAGTTCAGACAGTTTCGCCGGTCTCGACGTCGGTCTTTAATTCTCAGTCGGAACTAAGAAACGTTAACGTTCCGCGCGAGCGTTTCCGTTTTCTTGAAAGAGCCGTCAGACAACCGGTCTGACAAGAGACGTCAGACGAGACGTCACTCCAACAACCTGGTGGATCCTGTCCTTGGGAGTTTCGTCCCGTAATTTCGACGCGTAATTTCCGGATGTGCGCCCGGCATAATGAACGAGATAAATAATTTAATGCAAATTCCACGAGCCAGCGCGCATACACGCGCGCGCCAGCACGTATACGCGCACGCATACATAAGCGGGAAATATCAATGGGCAGTTTCATTCTAAAATTCTGCGCACACCAACGGCTGCCGCGCCAGGCGGAAAGATAATCCCGCGGCGTCTCGATTCTCATTTATTCGCCTCGTTTTTATTCTCTTTTACATCACGTTCGAGCCCCGTATTTTTTTAATTAGGTGACCTTTGCCGCGATCATTACTGAACCGGTCATATCGAGTAGAAAAAGTAATCTGAGAGAGAGAGAGAGAGAGAGAGAGAGAGAGAGAGAGAGAGCACGCGTTGCCGTTGCTTTTCGATTCCGAGTGCTCATTGATACTTCGGTTCATTGACTCGAGCAGCTTAATTACTACGTAAATCCGTATATTGGAGTAAGCTAATGTTAAGACCGAGTTATTACAAAGTTGGGAGCAAGTCTCGGAGCTAACTAAATCCGCTATGATATACGTTGGCGGTGTTCCGCTCGGCTACGACACATTACCGCCGCGCGACTTCCGTAAAGGGGAAAAAATATGCAACGCGATGCAAATAGAGAGACAGAGAAAGAGAGAGAGAGAGAGAGAGAGAGAGAGAGAGAGAGAGAGAGAGAGAGAGAGA